AACTTCTGCAGTCGCTCTTTAATTGTAAAGTAAGAAAATATTTTTTAACTAACAACCTCTCTTTCTTAGACCTGACTTAGAAGAGTAAAGACAAAATTTCTGTGCAGGCTGCCTGTGTTAAACCTCAGGTGTTGAAACCCAGCAGTGAAGGTGCTATTTGTGAGCTGCATTTTAAGACAACCTTAAATATCAATTCTGTAAGCTTCCAAAGAGCTTCAGCGCTTCTTGAAAATTCAGAGGAGTTAATGAGAAAAGAAAGATTCCTCCTATGCTCTGCTAGTGCAATTTATTTTATCTTGCAGAGGTCTGTAACTCGGGTTTTAGTTGCACAGTATCTTTGGACCTGCTTTTCACAGTCCACATTCGAAGCTGTAGGCAGAGTTAACATCTTTTTTTAGACAATCCTCTACCTACAAACTTTTGTCTTACATTGCCTGATCACTGTAGCTCTATAGCAACGCTATCATTACAGCACAATAGTTACCAGAATTTTCAACCTGAAATGGAAAATGTGCAGAAGAACTTTTAAGAATCCAAATTAAACAATGAAGTGAATGCCTAAGCTTCCATGACATCAGTAGGTCTAATAAAAGATGTAATATCTGCCTACGTATGTTGCTTTCTTTCCATCCGTAGATCATTCCAGCGCTGATACTATAAATCTTGCATTTTCTTGAGTGAAATTTAACATGGAAGTATGACATAGTGCATTTCACTGATTAGTATGTGAAGAGGACTTTTTTATCAGATACTAAACTCCTAGAGGGTGGAGAAGACAGGAATGTCCAGAATGTCTGGGCAGTGGTAACACAGGCCTGCGTCTTTCAGGGTCAGTTCCAAAAGCTGGTAGATTCTGAAATTTTGTTTTATTCTGCTATGTTGTGGCTTTCAAGCAAACCTCCTATCAGCTTAATAAATAACTAGAGAGTGTTAGTATTCTTCGTAAATATGTTTACTTTTTCATAAAGGTAGTTGTTGTCCTACTCAAACATTTTATTGCAGAAGAATAAAGACTTCAAACAGCATTTAAACAGACAACTGACACCTAATGCAAACGCACTTTTGCATCTTCCCCATCACTTTCCCCAGGCTCCCTGCCCTGCACAAATGCATTTCATGTTTCTGTGTAAGGCTTGCGATTGTACTGCAGCAACTGCTTTGCCTCACATGATGTTTGCTGAACTGTAAATGGAGAAAAGATACCAATAAGATCGTCCTGCAGAATGATTACATGAAGCAATCCTCTTTTCTGTCTAAGGCTGGAAATGCTGCAGAAGCGTTTGATGTAGCAGCCACGGTGAGAGGATGTTGGCACAGTCCCGTGTAATGGTGTTGCTGCAGGCTGAAGGACAGCATTTGTGACAAGCACCAGGCTACTCCCCATTGCTGCGCACTGCTGGAACTCATTTAAGCACATCGGTAGCACTTCCCTACTTTGAGAAGGGCAGGCAACAAGCCTGGGTATAAAACTGCATAACTGAGCTGGAATGACTGGTGTTGATTAATGACCCTGTGTTGCTAAATTAGATCAAATGCTGTTGGGTGTGAAGATGAGCCGGGAGTAGGTTTAGGGTCCAACATCTGTGAAAATGTCCTTAAATACACAAATCCAGTTTGTGGTGAATCTCAAGTGGCTGGGAAGTACAGAGGTGTCAGTCCTGAGCATCCGTCGGTTCATGAAACTCAAGTAATGCATAGAGCCTGGCGGTTTTGTACCGGTACGTTTCAGCTGGGATTCTGCTGCTGTGGAGGAGTTACACAGATGACGCCTGGCAAAAGGAGCTAGAAAGTAGCAGGGCAAATGTAAGCAAGGAAAAATGCCCTCCCCGTAACGGTAGTAGTTACTATGATAAATGCTTCCTGAGGAAAGGCTGAATCATCTTTAGTGATTTACAGTAAAAACAGAGAAACAAAATGAGGATGGAAAAGGACAGAGTATTAAAAGGAGGGAAAAAAATTAATTTCTCCAATACCTGTGTTCTTCCCCAATATTAAATCTTAGTTCCAATTTTTGGGACGCTTTTATCTCTGCTTTGGCCTACATGGAACGGAAGGAATTTATGCCTTCCCTTCCTTCCCTGTTTTCTCTAGCCTGTGAAAACAGAAATTGCGATTTTCTATAGGCACTCTGTGAAATGTCTATTTCAAGCAGCTGCAAGAAAGGGCAGACTTAATTTCAAGTAATTTGGAGGTTTACATCCCTGAACAAAATGAAGGCTTCTTTTTGGTATCCCTTCGTTAGTAGGAAAGCTGCCTGCCTGCGGGCGCTGCAATATGGCACCAGTGAACCAAGGATCCTTGTTGCTACGACACCTTCCGCTGAATATAAAAATTGAGGTCGTGCTCTATTTCAGTTTTATGATCCCTTTATCTGTACCTGAATTCTTTAATAATAGAAAGGTCAAGTGGTTTTCTTTAGGTTTTAAAAAATAAATACAACCGCTATTGTCTTTCTCATCACAGAGTTATCATTAAAAGGCCAGACACTGCTATTTATACAGTTATTCAAAACCCTATTCTGCTACTTAAGCTGTCAGCAATTTATTATTTTTGCAATATAAAGCACCACGAGTCTCAAAGATTGCACTAACTGCTGTGCAGAGAGAGAGTAGGATAGCTCCTACCTAGAGATGTGACCACCTAATGTTAGCAACAAAGGCAAAACCTGCACGCAAAATAACACCAATCACCCCAGATCCCTCTTTGCCCAGCCATCGCCAGAAGGGAACGTTGTAGACATTGCTGTAGGTATTGCAACGGATGCGGTTGTTGCAGCAGTGAGCTGAGAGGTGACTCGCAGAGCAGTGATTCTCGAGGGCCCCTCCATCGGTCAGCCCCGCCAGCCCAGAGGAAACCTAAGCGTATCGGAGGTGCGAAGCCAAGGACTGAAGCGTACCCAGGCCGTGCCGATCATCAGTGAGGCAGGCTTTGTTTGCTCTGTGGTAATCCTTCTGGCGTGGCATTAGGTGACGACATGGAAGGGAGCCTGCTGGCCAGCGCTGCCTGGTGTTAAGCGGTGCCTGGTTGCCCCATTTTCATGTGCTACGCTTTTACACTCACATTGCATCAAAACAGGTGACTGTACGGGATGACAGGCAGCGGCAGACTGGATTGTGCCTTAGTCTCAGCTGAAGCGCTGTCTTTATGAAGAAGATGTAAACCAAAAAGCTTTAGGCTCCTTGTAGACAGAAGGAACTTGTAACACACAAACCAGCTGTACAAAGGCTAAGCGGCCACTGAAGAGCATCTTCCCCCTCCTCCGGG